GCTAGCTCTACCGGTGTAGCAGCTAGCTCTACCGGTGTAGCAGCTAGCTCTACCGGTGTAGCCGCTTCGCCCCCTGTAGCAGCTAGCTCTACCGGTGTAGCAGCTAGCTCTACCGGTGTAGCAGCTAGCTCTACCGGTGTAGCAGCTAGCTCTACCGGTGTAGCCCCTTCGCCCCCCTGTAGCAGCTAGCTCTACCGGTGTAGCCCCTTCGCCCCCCTGTAGCGGGAACGAAGGGGCTACACCGGCAGAGCTATGAAGCAGCATGCATGATTGTCTCTGTTTAACATCCAAAATCTGTGCATAGCTTACAGCAGCCTGTGCGCATCCCACATCTCTGTTTGGATGCGACTTGGCCTCATAGGTACCAACGTTGTTCAGCGCCGCTCGATCATCACTCATCACTGTGGAACGGATAGGTCGCCTACGCTTACTCCCTAACCCTAACCCAAACCCTAACCCAAACCCTAACCATATCAAATAGTTACCAGGGTACGTTGCGGCAGTACCCTGGGGGACATAGACACCCTATGAGCGTAAATATACATGCTCTCTCACAGCCGAGAACAGAATACAACAATATGACGTGAATAATTATTGTTCCCAGTTTATAAATACTCCACATCATACTACACACACCTGGACGGAATGGTCAAACAGCACTGCTGTGTACACCAGGTGGCACCACTGTCATAATATTGCCAGAGCTGATATTTCTACCGATATCACACGTAAAACACTGACCACACACGTATATGGAATACGAACGAGGTCATACTACAAATATGCTTAAATGGACCTAAAAATTGCTGAAATGGACCTAAATAGGCGCTGATTGAAGCAAAACAACTGCTGATTGATACAAACAACTGCTGATTGATACAAACATGTTCAAATAGCCTATATCAGCAGAATAAACGCCCATTCTCGCTAAACAAATGTCAATTTCAGCAAATATGTCTCCCTCTTGCTGATATCAGCCCTAACAAAGGTCCATTTCAGCATAATTGTCTCCCTTTTGCTGATATGGCCCTTCTTAGCACTGATATCAGCAAAAGGGAGACATTTATGCTGAAATGGACCTTTGTTAGTGCTGATATCAGCAAGAGGGAGAAATATATTTGCTGAAATGGCCATTTCTTTAGCGTGAATGGGCGTTTATTCTGCTGATATAGGCTATTTGAACATGTTGTTTGCATCAATCAGCACTTATTCTGCTTCAATCAGCGCCTATTTAGCCAAATCAGCATATTTAGGTCCATTTAAGCTAAAATTATGTCCATTTAAGCATATTTGTAGTATGACCTCGTTCGTACACCATACACGTACGCATGTGTAGCACACGGTTAGACAATCCACACACAAACAACAGTTGCAAATACCACATGCAAACCACATAGTTATCTATATCACACATTTGAAACCCAATATCACACATTGGAAACCTATATCACACACATAAACCCTTGTTTCCAACATCACGTGCACGCATACACACCACCACCACCAGTCACCATGCAGTTACATTGCCTATACCATCCACAAAACACACTTGGCAATATGAGACACATACACAATGATTTCAGAGGAAACCACGTTTGCGTATTAGTGCAACAGAAGCAAGATCACTGATAATCCTGTAAAAGGCCATATAATATGGAAGTTCGGGTGAAAATCTACATCCAGGATATAAAATCCTACTATGTCAAACACGATTGCATATTTGCCCTTTCTCTGACAGGGCCACACCCATTTATTCAGATAAAAATCAGGATACCGTGAACAGTCTCAGCGTAAAAGCACCATATAAATAAACCTAATAAAGTGACTAGTACTTCTCACCGACCCGGTGCCGATAGGTCGGGAATATTATCAAGAGCGTATAAAGAAGGAGAGCGTACAACTGTGAAATGCTGAAACCATGTTGCAGTATTAGTCGAATTAATAAACTTTCCCCGTTTTATTTTGACAATTCTTTGCGGTATTATTGATCAGCTGTCCTACCTTGTTAATATAAAACAAACCGCATGTCCCTACGATGCCCCTACGCTGAGATAATGAGCGGTGAAAATCAGGTATTTTCGCCGAAAACCGACTCGAGATCACTGTTTACTGTGACTGTCTCTCGCTTTGAGATAACTTTGGGAAATCTCGCGTGTTTCAGTCAATGATTGACAAATGGAATGAATGACGTCTGTTATTGATTGCCATAGTGATGACCCCCACCTGTGCCCACCTCACGCTGGATGTATAGTAAACTCTCTAGTACTGACGTGACTCAACGCTACCATGGCGCTACACAGCGGCGACCGGAAGCAATACACTGGCCACAAAGCGAGAGAAGGTCGCAGTAAACAGTGATCTCGAGTCTGTTTTCGGCGAAAATACCAGATTTTCACCGCTCATTATCTCAGCGTAGGAGCATCGTAGGGACATGCGGTTTGTTTTATATTACCAAGGTAGGACAGCTGATCAATAATACGCAAAGAATCGTCAAAATAAAACGGTTCTTAATTCGACTAATACTGCAACATGGTTTCAGCATTTCACCGTTGTACGCTCTCCTTCTTTATACGCTCTTGATATTATGGTGCGTGTGTACAGTGTAGCTGCACGGCTCATTGTGCCCACTACTCGCTGGTAAAACCTCCGATAGCGGACACCTCTACAGAGTGCACACCTGTCTATAAGGGACATTTGGCATTTTCCTCATTGGCAGTCATACAGTAAAATCACTTCTATCGAACCGATGCCTGTCTACAAAGGACATTTATGGCATTTCCCTTGATTGGAAGTTATACAGGTAAATTGCCTGTATAGAGTCCCACCTATCTATAAAGGACAATCTTGGCATGCAGTTATACAGTAAAATCATCTCTATCGAACTGACACCTGTCTATAAAGGACAGTCTTGGCATTTCCCTTCCGCGGCCGTTACGCGCAATTTCGACTTGTACGGTCAATGAGACGCCGCCTCCACCGCCACCTCCACGACCCCCACCGCCTCCACAGCCATGGCCGCTGGCGTCCGCGCTAACGTTGGTGGACGTGCAGGTTGCCGCTGTCGTACAGCTCCGCGATCACGTCCAGATTGCTGTCGAGGTTGGCGAGGAAGGCCTCCATGTCTCCGATCGTCCGCTCCACGTCGGCTTCCTCTCCGTAGCACGCAGCCTTCAGGAAGTCCCGGCGATACGGCACGGCCTTCGAACACAGCTGCGGAGGGAAGAGAGAGAGAGACGTGAGTGTTGGGGCGATACGGCTAGGCCTTCGAGCAGAGCTGCGGGGAAAGAGAGAGATAGAGACGTGAGTGTCAGCGCTGTAGCGGTAAGCGGTCGCGTAAATAAATAATTGACCCTACCACGATATCTGAGCTACGTATCAATAGCGATCGAAAGCTCGATTTTCACCTGAAACAGCTTCTGCGTCATCCAGTTGTGGTGCGGCTTCAGCGTGCGTTCGTAAGCCGACGCTGCGTGCTCACTCATCAGCTCACTCTGCCGGCCGTCTCTGTGGTCCTTCACGATCGCCCCGAGGAGCACGCTGATGTACTGAAGACCCCTGAACAACGAACACACGTCGTCAGAACAAACTCAGTCGAATCGCTTGAGCACGTTTGCCCGTGATCTGTATTGGTGGCGGGAGATGGGGGATGCTGGGGGACTACTGAGCGCAAGGAGTGTGAGAGTGTGGAGTGACCCAACCCTACTTTAGGAACCTTGCATATGAACTATCATTATCGTCGTCATCACCATCATTGTCATCAATCTCATCATCGTCATCATCATCATTATCATCAGGAGCAGCAGCAGCATCATCATCCCCCTATCCCTAGCACCCTTAAATTTAACTGTACCCCTAACCTAAGCCTAACCATAATTCCAACCTAATCATAAGCACATCAATATAAACTTGGGTTCTAGTATAGGACTGTACAGGGGAATGCCCCTGAATATGTATCTGGCATCAGCCTTCTACAGAGTGCAGCTTGACCTACCCACCTCTTTAACCACAGTAGAGCATCAATCACAGACACTTTGGGTGGCGACTTTAGGTGTATGAGTTCTAGCTCCCAGTCGATCAAATCATTGAGGGTACGAAATTTTTCCGGATCCTCCAAGTATCTGTTTCGTAGTTTCTGGATTTTCGCCGATGCAGTTGTTCAAATGAGTAAGTTTCATCGTGTTAACATGACTCAAATTGTTAAAGGCATGAAAATTTCGATTTAATGACATTCAGGGTATTGATTCATCACATACGAACGTCCCAAACATAGCATCGAATAACAAATAAAATAATCATTATATAAACTTTATAATTATTGATAATAATTAAATAAAATACCGTAACATTTCCATTAACATCGCTTTTCACGGGCTTGAAGGCACTGCTTAGCAAATCTGTAATACATGAAACAGAAGAATCATATTAACGTGTATGTGTATAGAACATGCAAATGTTCTCAGGTAAGTGCCCTCATTGATTTAGGACAAACCGAAAAGATCTTCATCACTGAACAGATGCACGCACGCACACACGCTTGAGATAAGTACAAGTAGTTGTAGAATGAGTTTTTGAATTCCCCTTGTGAGGTTCTAATGACTCATCGACTGCAAGCTTGTTGTCGTTTTTGGTCTGTGTGCGCGATGGACCCATCCTGTTGTACTTGACTTTGGGGATCGCGACACTTCCAGAAAGAATTTTGTTGAGAAGGTCGAGTCGGTTCTCTTTATGGCGCAGTCATCTAGTTTTTATCATCTATTTATTTACTCTTGTTTGATATCGGTGCAAAAGCTCTTAGCTTATGTTAATAATGTTCATTATATACCGATGAAAATAAATTTTACTTGATTCACAGATTCTCCTCTGACTCTAGGTCTCCTCAGAGAACCTCTACTGTCAGCTCTCGACAATTTTCCATGTCACGGTGGTAAGGGTTGGTGGCTTGGATAGATTCTCTATACTCGTAGTATAGGGGCTGGTTTCTCCAATATTTGTCTAGTCTGGCCTCAAAGGACCTGACTGATTTTGCTGTTACTACTAATTCTAGAAGCTTGTTCCACAAATCCACTGATCTATGTTACGTACAAATGAGTATTTCCTGATGTTCAATCTCGTTCTGATTTTGTAGATTTTGTATGCATGTCCCCGTGTTACCGATTCACCTGCTGTTTTAATGAAGTCAGACACTTCAGGATCATATTTACCAGTCAGTATTTTATACATCTCAATCATGTCACCCCTCACTCGCCTGTAGGCCAGAGTTGAACTTGAACTTGAACTTGAACTTAACAAAGCAACCCACCTCGCAGCCAGAAGTGTAACTGCAAGCTGATCCTAATACAGTGTGTGTGTGACACACTGCAGTTCGACACTTCCTGTTAACTCACATCATGTTTATCGGTTGAAATGAACAAAGAACACCCTCACCAGTACCCCTGTCGATTTTAAAGGGGCTACCCCCACATTTACGAAAACGACATAGGTTTCAATGGGCCCCATGTTCTCTATCCTTGAACCGTGACCACTGCCACTGGCACTGTCACGGACACTGTAGGGGTACCGTTAACCACCTTAGCTTACCAAAGAAAGCAGGTATGTTACTTGCTGCGTCCAGAAATTGTTTGGTATCTATACGCTTATCCTCTGGCACACTAAATCGCGGTTGAAAGCCATTGAAGAAATTCGTCATTTTATGTGGAATGTGTTATTACGTCGCTTTCTGTTTACAAACAGTTGTATTGTGGCGACACTTCTCGGCAGTGTATTAATACGTACACAGTGCGTATTTTTTATTAGTATGGATTTTCTCCTCATTTATATTGATTCTCTTGCCCACTGTGCCATATTTTAACTAACATACGCTTTGTTAGTTAAATACTTTTATTGATGTAGGCCTACAAACATCCGCTAAAAAGCTGTTTAAAAGATGTAGTTGTCGGTTTTGCGAATTTCTAGCGCCCTTGATTTTCTACTATGACACACTATCAATGACTGAATGAGGTATGTAAACATAAAAAATTTCTCATGTTTCTTAGATGCAACCGATTGCTATTTATAAAACTTACTAGGCCTAGTCTATGGTGTAAATTTATTTTCCTTCTGAGCTTGCGACCTATTGTTTTGTCCTTGCGGAAATACGAAGTCAATAAGATAGAAGGTATGTTGGCGTCGTTCTGCTTGCTAAGTAACTTGGCATCATGGTTTTGTTTATGTATAATGTACGGTACTCTGTAGGCCTACTGTAGTACTACTAGTACTGTACTCTGTATTACTGTACTACTGTACTCTGTAATCTGTACTGTACTGTACTCTGTAGTATTACTATTAGTATTAGTACTAGTAGTACTACTAGTTCCAGTGTCCGTTGACCAATACCCACACCGAAAAATTGTTATAGATTTGGCGCTGTTGTGTGTGTGTGTGTGTGATGCGTGTGTGTGTGTGTGTGTGTGTGTGTGTGTGTGTGCGTGCGTGCGTGC